CAAAGGGACCAGGACGACTGATCCGTGTAAAGGAAAGAATGAATGGAGCCATGTATCGTGAGATTTTGAGTGACAACCTCCTTCCATCAGCAAGGGCATTGAAGATGAAACGTGGCTGGGTCTTTCAGCATGACAATGATCCCAAACACACCGCCCGGGCAACGAAGGAGTGGCTTCGTAAAAAGCATTGGAGTGGCCTAGCCAGTCTCCAGATCTCAACCCCATAGAAAATCTTTGGAGGGAGTTGAAAGTCCGTGTTGCCCAGCGACAGCCCCAAAACATCACTGCTCTAGAGGAGATCTGCATGGAGGAATGGGCCAAAATACCAGCAACAGTGTGTGAAAACCTTGTGAAGACTTACAGAAAACGTTTGACCTTTGTCATTGCCAACAAAGGGTATATAACAAAGTATTGAGATGAACTTTTGTTATTGACCAAATACTTATTTTCCACCATAATTTGCAAATAAATTGTGATTGTAAATGTGATTTTCTGGATTTTTGTTTTTCTCATTTTGTCTCTCATAGTTGAGGTATACCTAGGATGAAAATTACAGGCCTCATCTTTTTAAGTGGGAGAACTTGCACTATTGGTGGCTGACTAAATACTTTTTTGCCCCACTGTACATAATGTACTTTTTACTCCACTACATTTCACAGTCACTTGTTTCTTTAAAACAAATGATATGCTTATATTTGACTTGAGTAACATCTTGATTGCAGGACCTCTGCATACATACTGTCCATAAATAGCAGATCTTCATTTGGTTAACTTACAACATGACTTGTTTCTAACTTTTCACCGAGGTGCTACTGCAGGATACTTTGACTGAACATCATGTTTCTGTGTGGACTGTATGTTTTATAAGCTAATGTTACACACTTTTTGACCCCGGATTCATCATCTAACTGTGGTTTCTTCATCAACAGTAGTACACCGGATGTTCCACCTGAACAGGTATGTGACTCTTGTATCCTCACTCAAATGTAAAAAGGCTTTATCAGTGTTGGAAATTCTATACTCTAGTATTGTACTATTTTGACATATTTGTACTTTATTTGAGTATTTCTATTTAATGCTACTTGAAATATGTAATAATAATGTTCTCTTTTATATCAAACTCAATATCCCTTGGTTTGTATTAATTAAAAAAAAATACTTTTTAAGAAATCATTTTTGACTTTGAGAAACAGGGATGGACATTTTTACCACTATTTACTATTTTATATCCCCGAATTAATCAATAATTAAAACATAATTTAGTTGCAGCCTACCAAATGTGTGAATAAACAAGACCTGTGTTGTTCATTTTACAGGTCTATATTTGAATTGGTGGAATCTCATAACTACCTGGAATTAACTGACCAAAGGCTGCTGCAGTGGTACCTCTGTTTGAATTTTGAAGACAGAAAGATTATACAAGGTATGCTGCTCTTTCAATAATTAAAGAATCGTTAACCAAATGTTTTTTTGATTTTGGCTGTTAAGACAAAACAAGACCCTTTTTTAAAGAGGTCATCCTGGACTCCTGGATTTTTGGTGTGTTTATAAATCAGACATTTCGTATTTTAATAATTGATTGAACATTCATACTCGGGTCGTCGTAATCTTTTAAATGAAAACGGAAATTATATGGCAAAAAAAGAGAGTAATGCCAATGGCCAATATATTACTATATAAACTTAGAGTCTATCTGCCCGCCTTTGTGTAAGACATTTTGATTAAATGTTGCAGCCCATTTTCATATTTAATTGTTTTCCTCTCTCCTAGATGAAGGAGGGTTTCACTGGTTCTTGGTGAAACATCCTTCCCTGGAGCTGTCTCTGCAACATGTTTATGTGAAGCGTGAGTCTGTGGAGATATCATATTTTAATAGCTGTGCACAGACCAAATATTGACTACAGTTTTTATTCACAATCCAGATTGTCATAGTGTCATGCCTCTGCTGCCAAACATGACACCCAACAGGCCTATGCATGTCTCACCGTAAGTACAGTGAATACTACAGGGTGTCCGCGGGGTCTTAAAAAGTATTAAAAGTTGATAAATCAATTTAGCGAAAATTAAGGCTTTTAAAAAGTATTAAAAAGTATTAAACGGCATTTTCCAAGGTATTAAGAAGTCCCACAGCAACGACAACATGAAACACCCTTTAATTTACTGAAACGACATGTCGGGAAACCCCACAAGGCGGCCCCATGCATAGCGCGCCGTAAAATACTGCTTATTATTTTAAGTTTCGTTGCCTTGCTCCGCTCTGTGTGTGTGTGTGGGGGGGAATAAACGACTACGGTAACGGGTCCCAAGGTGGGTAGACCGGCATACGCAACGCTCTGGGGGTCCAACGGCTCCGTGTGTGCCCTATATTATCATTTTCTGATAACGATGAAAGAGCCCGCCTCCCTCTCCCCACGTCTCCTGCTGCTGCTGGGCTGTCAGAAGAGGGGGAGGAAAAGAGAGGCAGTCACCGTTTATTAAATATT